AAGAGATCAGTGTGATTGTGTGTGAGCGAGTGTGAGTGTAAGATATGAGTGTGATTGAGTGTGAGTGTAAGAGATTAGTGTGATCGTGTGAGCAAGTGTGCATGTGAGTGTGAAGGAGATTAGTGTGTGTGAGCGAGTATGTGTCAGTGTAAGAGATTAGTGTGATCATGTGTGAGCAAGTGTGAGTGTGAGAGTAAGATTAGTGTGACCACGTGTGAGTGTGAGTGTGTAAGCGATTAGTATGATCATGTGTGAGCGAGTGTGATTGTGAGTGTAAGAGTGATTGTGTGTAAGCAAGTGTGTGAGTGTAAGAGATTAGTGTGATCGTGTGTGTGTGAGAGTGTGATTGTGAATGAGTGTGAGTGTGAATGAGTATGAGATCAGTGTGATCGTGTGTGAGTGTGAGAGTGTGATTGTGAGCGAGTGTCAGTGTGAATGAGCATAAGAGATTAGTGTGATCGTGTGTGAGTGTGGCAGTGTGAATGAGTGTCAGCAAGTGTGTGAGTGTGAGCACATGTGTATGAGTGCGTGAGCGATTGTGAGCATGTGCATGTGTGTGTGTGTGTGTGTGTGAGAGAGCGAGACGGGGGGAGAGTGAGGACGGTGGTGTTGGTAGCAGGGCAGCCCAGGGAAAGGTGAGGGGTGCCCAGGCTTGGGCCTCGTCCTAGCTACCTTGTGTGGCCCCAGCAGGGGAAAGTTCCAGAAGGAAGAGCAGAGAGCGGGATCTGGAGGGCAGGACGTGCATGGGACCAAGGGTAGGGGTGCAGCTGACAGGCAGAAGTTGGGCTGCACGCCCAGGGCTGGTGTGCAGGGTGGGGAGTTCCAGGCGTAGGGGTGCAGCTGAGAGACGGAAGTTGGGCCACACGCCCACGCGTGGGCACCCTGGAGCAGTGGCCGCTGCATCCCGTCCCCAGGGCTTCCCAGCCTCGCCCCTCTTGCCCCAGGCCTGGCCGCAGGAGGTACCTTGGGAAGCTTGACAAACCCAAACTCCTGGGGCAGGAGCGAGTGGTTGTGGAGGCTGATTTCTGTCCTGATGGCCTCGTAGATGGTGCAGTAGCCAAAATCCACCTCCGAGGGACTGAGCTCCAGGTCCGAGGTGGTGACAATGGCGTGCACGGTGAATTCCACTGGCTTGTTCTGAGGCACAAAGAGCGCAGTCGCTCTGCAGCTGCTTGGAGACTTACCAAGTGCTCCCCAAACTCTGAGGCGTGACCACTGCTGCTGCCTTGTGGCCACAGTCCACGGTTTCCAGGACACGATGAGGCCATCTTTTAATAGCACCCACTTCCCGGTGACCACTCCCTGACATGGGGGGGTGGCAGCTGAGAGCCAGCTGCAGGTGGAGTGGGGTGCATGTGTCCCTGTGTGTGGCACACATGGGCGCGTAGACGTGTGCAGCTGTGTGGGCACCCCTCATGTGTGCACATGCAGGTGAGGGTGCCTGGGACACAGCCCTACTGGCCTGGGCAGGCCTCGGAGGCCTCTCTCTGGCCCATGAGCACCCTCTCAGCAGGCAAGCCCCTCTGGCCACTGGATGCCTCACTGGAAGGCAAGTGAGGATGGGCCCTTTTGGGGGCCCTCGCCTGGCCTCCCAGGAAAGCCACTGCTCCCCAGGAGCACCCAGCATCCCTGGAAAGTGCCCCAACACAGACCTGGTCAGCCACCCATATGGTCATCGGGGCCACAAACCTGGTCAGCCACCCATATGGTCATCGGGGCTTCCAGGACTCGCGTCTCCTTGTCGAAATACCTTCCCGCATCCTCCGGGAGGGAGTGTCTGAAAGAGGCAGAGAGGTGAACGTGCTTTCCTCTTTCCATTTTGTGAAATGACAATAGGACCCGCTGTTAGTGGTGCTTCTACATCTCTGAGAGGTACGACACCTCTGGAACATTGGTGCTGGGATACGCCTCGTGCCGACCTCCTGCTCGCGCACAGAACCTGCGAGCGCGTGGCCCCTGTGGGCCCGCGAGGGCTCTGGCATGTCTGAGTCTAAGTAGCCAGTCACTCCCAGGAGCAACACAACTGACTGTGGCTCAAAAGCTGTGTTTAAATAAACAGAAAAAAATTCAATAGCCAAGGTTCAAATTAATATGGAGTTTGCATCATAAAGGAATCTTAAAAAGCCCTTTGAAAATGCATTTTCACTTTAATCAGAGTTTGATCTCTGATTACATAAGCTAGTGTTGTTATAGAAATATCAGGAAAAGTACAAATAAGAAAGAAAAACATTAGCTTCCCTGTGACAGGTGGCCGGCAGGGGCAAGTCCAGGAAACAGTCGATTTAAAGCTCAGCTCCACCCTGTTCCCCTCCAAGTCCCGCCAGGTCGTGCCTGCTGCGCCCACCTCCCTCACCAAGCTCCACTGAGCACCCTTTGTCCGGACCTCGGTCCTGGCCCGGATGCTGAGGGCAGCTCTGGGGAGCTGGGATCAGACATAGGACGTCCAGCCTCCAAAGCACAACAAACGCTGAAATGCAGTAACCAAAGTCCACCTGGCAAAAGCAGAGACCCGGGGATACACCCAGGAGGCCTGGAAAGAGCCTTGGATTGGAGAGGACAAGGGACGACTGGGTGACAGGGATGCCCTCAAGACACAGGTAAAGGAGCAAATGTCAGGCGTGCACTGATCTCAAAACAGAACCCCAGGGAGTTACGGGAAAGGGATGAAGACAGGGAAGACAGAGTGGGAGTGCACAGACAGCAGGGTGCCCGCAACAAGCCAGAGCCGTGTCCTGGGCCACCTTATCCCGGCAGGCAGCAGACTCTCAGTGGCAGTGAGAGCCGCAGGCCATGCTTGGGGGACGCACGGCCTCCCGATCTTTTCAACGAGGCTGGAATAACTGGAAACCTCTACAAAAAAATGAACTTCAACTTGGCTCACATCTTAAACAAAAGCAACCAAAACAGACCACCGACCCAGCTGTGACTGCCCCCCAGTGTCATGGCCTCGGCCCCAGAACACATCCCTGCAGGGTGATGATCCCAGCAGCAATGAGATCAGAGGAGCGGCCAGTGGAGAGGGGCACCTCGGAGCCCACATCCTCCCACGTCCTCCTGCCCCAGCCCTGGCGTCCTGGCACCTACCGAGGCAGGAACTTGAGCTGCACGGAGTAGGACGACTGTGCCTGGATGTAGCCTGTCTCAGGCAGGAGCTCCAGGTGGGCCCTCAGCTCCTTGCACACCTCGAACTTCAGGCGCAGGGCAGCTTTCGACCTGTGGGCGCGTCGCAGGGCACTGGGTCAGGTGCCACAGCCGTGACTGTGTGCGTGCTCAAGGCCTGGAGTCATTAAAACATTTCTAACGCGCAAGCCCCCGACAGGTGCTCAGAGCCCACCCACTCCAAGCATGCACGTGCACCTCGACAATCAGAGTCTTCAAAGCCCTGCTTTGTAAGAGCTGTTTTATCTGAAATGAAATCTGATGAGGGATTCTTAAAAATAACCACATCGAAACGGAAGCATGGTCCTAATGGGCTCTCGGGAACCGGACGCTTTCTGGGAAGAGCACCTGCCAGGCAGCCCCCGGGTGCGGGGCCCTGGAGGGGACATGAGGGGTGGAATCCCTCCCTCCAGGGCTCTGCCCGCCTCCTGCCCAGGGCATCCCCACATCCTGCGGCTCAAGCACAGGGCACATGGGGCGCCTGGGACAGCCACAGGCCTCGGTGATGACTGCAGCCTCCAACCCAAGATGTGCCTGAGAGAGCCAAGGTACCCACCAGTCACCTGGGAGGCTGCGTCTGTCTGGTCTCCACCTCCAGCTCCCTCAAGCCAACAGCCTCCTCAGGACCACCGGGAGCCGCCTGTTCCCACAGTGAAGCAAGCCCCCCTCCCCTCCCCATCTTTGGGCCTCTGCTGAACACAGTGGTGTGGCCGCCCCACCACAGCTGCCCCAGGCAATCCACGAGGGGGGACCCCGAGGGTGTAGCAGTGAGAAATCTCTCCTTCCTCCTGTGCTTCCACGCGAGTCACCCGTGCTGTGTCAGCCCCGTCTCCGTCCAGCACAGACCTGCCTCTGACCTCTGACCACTACCCAGAGACCACCCGCAGTGTGTCTGGGCACACCGGCCTCTGCACCCCTACTGCTGGGGCCCCGTGCGAGGTGGGTGCCCGGGTGCTCAGAGACCGTGCCCTCCCTGTCCGGCAGATGCTGCTCTGTCTTCTGGTTCCCTTGTGGGGCCAGAGTCTATACAAACGAGTACACGGCTACACTGAGGTACGCACAACCACAGCCGGAGACCATCCACGGAGCTGAGCCCCGCCCAGCCCACAGTGCCCGACAGACACGCCCGGGCCCTTTCTGTCACGTTTCCAAGGCCATAGAGAAGCTGTGGTAGGACGGATGCCGGAGGTGAGCAGACTCCACCGTGGCCACGCTAACTCACGCAGCTCCTGGGTCACCGCAGCCACGCTAAGTCACGTAGCTCCCGGGTCACTGCAGACTTCACTGCGGCCACGCTAACTCACGCAGCTGGATCCCGGGTCACGGCAGACTCCACTGTGAGCAGGGTGTGTGGATGCCGAGGCCCCAGGCACTGGCCCCAGGCACAGGCACCTCCCACCCGGTGACCTGGGTAGGAACGGCTCTCGCAGCGCCTGCCCTCCTGCGGTCCGACTCCTGTGGGCCCAGCACGGGCTGGGAATGTGCAGCGCGGTGTCTTCAGATTGGCCTGACTCTGACCCTCCTGCCTCCCCGTGACGCCTCCCGTGATGACACTGGCACCTTCCAGATGACCCTGGATCACCCCCACCAAGGTTCCTCTCCCCAACCACGGTGCTAAGCACCCACCTTGCCACACAGGGTGACGTTCAGGGCCTGGACAGCAGCCGTGGCAGCCCCAGGTGCCGTGTCCCCGCTGGCCACCGGGGGGCTCACTGTGCACAGGCGGGCAGGGGCTCACCGTGTGTGCAAGTCACCCCGTGTGCGTGGATGGGGGGGCTCACTGTGTGTGCAAGAGTCACCCCGTGTGCGTGGATGGGACGGGGCTCACCGTGTGTGCAAGAGTCACCCCGTGTGCGTGGACAGGGGGGGCTCACCCTGTGTGCAAGAGTCACCCCGTGTGCGTGGACGG